ATTGGAGTAGGTGATGATGTGGACAAAGATTCCGGAGCATTTCGATGAGTTTGTAAAGCCAGTTTTGGGCTTGGAGATGTAAAAATAGACCCATTAAGATCAAGTCACGAATTTGGTCTTGAGCAGAATCAAGGTTGTCAACCCGCGGGTTGATTCACGGGTTTACCTGGACCTGGTAACAAAAACGGACCACATACACTCGTTTAACAAATGACCCGAAATGATGAAACCCGTTTTAACCCGGTCAACACCCGGCAAACCATGGCGGGTCAACCTGCATCAGCAGTTCCCATATTTGTATCTGATAGTGCTTTTCATTCTTGGTCCGCGTGAAAGTGGACATCAGGGACCCCACCAAATTCATAAATACGAACAGATTGATGCAAACTTTTGAGGGTTAATTTTTATCATTTAATTATTGTTCTCTACTTATTACTTAATAAATTTTGATATTTTTAATTCTACTTCATAAATTGTGACTTTGATGATTAAGTGGCTTTCCAACTCCCCTTTTCTTGTGTTGTTTATTTAATAAATCTTTTTATTTTGCTGGTTTACATAAGTCAATTAATTATTGGGGTCAATTGCATGGTTGGTCACTGAAATTACAAAAAACGTTCAAGTTTGGTCACTCGAAATATTTAAATCCATTGGTGGTACTTCAGTTTACTGAAATCGTTCATGTTTGGTCACTCTCCGTCCAACTCCGTTAACTTTTGCTGATGTGGCAGTCAACTCTAAAAGTTGACCGTTAACTTAGTGACGCGGCAACTAAAAAATTATTAAAAATAAACAAATAAACTTTTATATTTTTCATCCAATAGAAACTTTATTCACAACTTCAACCTTCTCGGGCTTCACGTTCCAACCCAGATCCCGTTCCACGAACTTAGCCATCCAAGTGAAGTTGAACTCAGCGGATTGCTCCTTGTACGGGAGTATGAAGTCCCCTAAATACAGAGACCCATTGACGCCAACAATCTCGAATTCCATGGTGAGATGAGAGAGGAAAGAGCAGTGGATGATCCCGACCGTGTGTTGTCTTGTTCGTAGTGCAGCTGTGCAGAACAGGAGAGAATGACTCTGGTAGAGCTTTTGGTGGTGTCGGGTAAAGCGGGTGACTGAACTGGGGAGGTGGAAGTCTTTCGCCGCTGCCGATTCTGATTGGCAAGTCTTGTTTTCTAAAAAAAAAAAATTATGTTTTTATTTTTAATGAATGTAATAATGAGGTGGAAAATATAAAGTTTATTTTTTTATTTTTAATAATTTTTTAGTTGCCACGTCACTAAGTTAACGGTCAACTTTTAGAGTTGATTGCCACATCAGCAAAAATTACGGAGTGGACGGAGAGTGACCAAACATGAACGGTTTCAGTAAACTGAAGTACCACCAATGGATTTAAATATTTCGAGTGACCAAACTTGAACGTTTTTTGTAATCTCAGTGACCAACCATACAATTAACCCATTAATTATTCTAAATTGTACATTTGAATACGAATATCATATATATTGATATCATATGATATGATGTATTTAAGTGCGTTTGAATTGTCTTATAGGTTAAATTTATGTACGAACTATTATTTTGGTGTAATGTTATATGTTATTATTCATCTGAAATTTGATATATAATAAATTTATGTATGAAAATTATAACTTTTTCGGGCTAAAACAGGTGACCCATTAACCATGACTCACTAGCTCGTCCGAGTCCGGGTTGACCCGCGGGTTGACAACCTTGAGCAGAATACAAATTTAGGTTTAAAGGGTCACCTTCTTTCTCCTCTGCAATCGAGGTGTTGATTGTCTGCTTCTTCTCTAAGGAGAGTTGTTGCCTTAATTCTTCTTCAATTGTTAAATGGGTTAATACCCTAGTTTGGTCCGAAGTTTGGCATAAGTGACCGTTCTGACCCCATTTTTCAAATAAGACATTTATAGCCTACTTTTGAAATCATTGGACAAATTTGGCCCAAATTTTCTTTGACCGTTAATATTGATGGTCAAACACTATTCTGTTAGTGATTCAGAAAAAAACCTTTGATGTGGCATGCCATATCATTAATTAATTGAAATTTAATAATTCAATTAAAATAAAAACTCCCAAAATTCCATTTTTCAAATAATATCACACTCTCTCTTTCACCCAATCCGGCGTACGCGCCGACGACCATCCCCCATTTCAATTTGGCTCCTCCACCTTCAGACCAAATTTTTCTGGCTTCGCCAAATCTCTTTCGTCCTAACTATATTAAGAGCAGGACCAAATTTTCCATAACCAATTTATTCATTTACTTCCAAAACATGGCGACTCAAACTCAAGCGCTCACAAACTCCTGAAGCGCGTCGCCCTACCCGTTTCAGACAAACTCGATCTCACCCACACTCGCCTCAGTGACCTCGTGAAACGCTCCGTCTCTCGCCTTATTGGCGCAGACATCAATCCTGATGACGTGGTCGCCCCAACACCGTCGAGGTATTATTACTTGTTTTGATTTCTGCCTCTCCTCCGTTTGCTTTTTCGATTGCGAATTTAGTTGGATTCTGGATAGTAAATTGCAGATTGGGGAATTTTGAACTAGCCTGTTTGGCAGGCGAGAAAATGCTGGAGAAAATCGGTTGTTTCGTTTCTTAGGTATTTTTGTGATATGATTGCAGTTCGATGTGATGTTTCTGGCCATGATTCGAGCCAGAGCAACAGCGGCGCCGCTCAACGCCGCCTACACGGCGGGAGAATTCGCCGATTCGAAGCTCCAAATTGGTTGCTCACTTCGCGCGAGGGAAACGTGGTGGCCGAATCCGCCGCTTCGAATCTCCAAATTTACCACGCCAACTCCACTTTCTCCACAGAAGATTCTGAGGTCGCGCTCTCTCTTTCTCCTTCGTCTGAGTCCAGAACATCAAATCGGTCTACAAGCGAAGAAGGAGGGAGGCGCCTGCTGTTACGATGATGTTGGTTTAGTTTAGGGTTTGGATTTGGGGATTTGGAGATTTTCTTAATTTTTATTTTAATTGAATTATAAAATTAAATTGTTTAATGGTGTGACATGCTATATCAGTGGTTTTTTGCTGAGTCACTAACAGAATAACGTTTGACAGTCAATATTAACGGTCAAAGAAAATTTTGGGCCAAATTTGTCTAATAGTTTAAAAAATAGATCATAAATGTCTTATTTGAAAAATAGGGCGAGAACTGTCACTTACGGCAAACTTCGGGCCAAACTAGGATATTAAACCTTGTTAAATTGACCATGTGCAATTTAATTCTCTGGGCCCTCCCTGCTTGAACCGAATATAATACTCTGTTCTTCAATGTCAATTTCTTTATTCTTGGCAAGGGAAGCTGGTTCCTTAGAATTATTACCGATAGGCTCGCCCATCCCTTCTTTAATTTGTTGGGCCAGCTCCTTTCCTCTCTTAATTGCAGCATGGTGAGCATTAATGATAATGGAAGAGCCTCTGACATCAGTTGGACCTTGTTGTCGACGATGAGGTTGAGATGCGTCGGCGCCTTCCGCGATCCGGGCTTCTCCACCGGCGGATGATGGTTTTGGCTGTGGATTGGTCCTGGATAGAGTATCCTTCTTGTAGGTTGTTGTTGAAGAGCATTCTTGGTTGGTGTTTCCGGAGGGAGCAACAATTGTTGGTCTTTCGCTGGACTTGCATCCAGGGACCAAAGGAAGGTGAGGGTTCAGCTATGGAAGTTGAGTAGTTGTTTTTGCTTCAGGAATTGGTGTAAAGCATAGTTGAGGTAGTTTTTCGTACATCGATCACTTGCTGCCAATATCCATCAAGCCAGAATCTTGGAACTAGTGGTTTGGACACATCTATTTCTACAGCAATTCGAGCCAACTTTCCTCTTTGAGTACTCAGGGACAGGGTTTTGCGGTCGATGCGGATTGTTCTTCCAACAATTCCTCTTTGGTTGTGGTAATACGGAATCGGCTATCCTGGGAATCTCACCCAAGCAACAATGCGAGCCGGCAGATTCGCTGTCAATCTGAAATCTTGATAACCCACGGTCCTTCTGTAAGCGAGGTGTAGTAATCTCTTTGGGTAGTAAGTTTCACGAGGGAGCAGTCTTGATCAACATCAAGAACATGGAGTTGGCCAGTTGGCTGGCTTCCACATTGCTTTGAGTCTGTCGCAGAGTAGAGGGTAACTGATCTTTCTCCCGAGCAAGCGCACGACCACTGTTTGCTTCGAACGATCGAGGTAGTCTTTTGGGTGTACAGTGATTTCAGAAGGATTACCTCCAAAATTGGATAACGTTGGATTTCTGGTAGGGTGCTCCGGTGGTCCGGTGGTCGTCCGGGTGGGATTGGATTGAGTGACTGCAAGTTTTGTGGATTCATAGCGAGAGCCCGTATTCAGCAGGATTGTTATGCATTGCCCAGCAAAACCTTTACCGGAAGTATATTGTTGGCCGGAGAGTTTGTAATTAAACTAATTCATAAAATAAACAAAATCTCAAGACCGACCCTGACTACAATCCGACAATTTTATTGAATGAACATTAAAGAAGTTAAATAGATAGATGGTAGCCCACAAACTTGGACTACTAGTAACAAATTACACGAGCGAGTTCAATGCTGTTAACCAACTAACCCACCAGATACAGGACGTAAATGTAAACAAACAGAGCTACTGGATTGACACAGGAATACTGCATAGGACGCAGTATTGTTTATTGACAGACAGACAGACAGACAGACTTAGCAATGAAACGAAACGAAACGAAACGAAACTAACTCCAGGCTTCATTTGAACATGAGGGCTTGGTGCCACTCCAATCCTTTCCTGCAGCGGATAAGGATTTTTTTATTAATTATTCATGCCCTTTCCAGCTTCTCCTAACCTCCGATTCGGTTTAATTTCATGCTTGTTATCTATTTTATTAATAATTATTCTGAAGAAACTCTCGATCGGCTGCATTCTCTGCAAAAAAGATAATTCAAAGGGCAACTCAACGCAATCACTGATTCCTAACGAGGGAGCAGCTCAAGGACAACTAGACAGCAAAAGCTGAACGGAAGATGTCCATCTGATCCGGTGGCAAACCCAGTCCGACCTCGATCCCACGGCTACCGTTTCTACAATCCGCCAGCGATATGCCACCGTCCGATCTATCGACGTCACCTCCACGTACTTGGGCTTCCCCCACCCGAAATCGGCGCCGTACACGTGGAACCTCGGGGACCCAGCGATCCCGATAAACACGCCTCGACTGGCCTCCCTATCCTTGGCGAAGGTTGACACGTGGCGGTCTCCCCCAACAACCTGATCCTTCCCCTCCACGTGATCAATCATCTTGCTTATCCTCTCCGCAGCGAATCCAATCCCTCCCTCCGCCACCAGCGGTCTCACTTGTATCAGCTCGGGTCCGCTTAAGACGCAATTCCCTAGGTAGTTCGCCGGCAATGGTGGTTTCAGTCGGCCTCGGACGTCCGCCATGAAAGCGTAATGGACCACTGCTTCGTCGTCGTCGCTTCGGGCTCCCAGGCGTTTGGCTTTCACCAAGCACACCAAGGAATGGGCGAACGTAACGACAAAGCTTGACAGGCGAAGCTCATAATCAGTTCCGGACGGCGCCGTTTTAATCCTTTCCCCAGCGTCTGGATTCGGTCGTGGGAGAGAAGAAATGTGGCCCGGACCAAGCCGGGCTCGGGAGCAGACGGCGGGGGCAGCTTCAAGCTTCTCGGGCCGGGCCAGGAGTTGTGGTAATGCAAGCCCATGCCTTTGGGCTCTGGTACGACGGACCGGTCCAGAAACGGTACGAGATCTTCTGGACAAGAGGTAACGCTGGATTTGGACAAGTGGGCCCAGGCCTTGAGGAAGAGAGTGGCGGATTTCCCATCGAGGACGCCGTGGTGGCTGGTTATTCCCACGCAAAATCCCTGGCCCGGGAAAGCGTGAGCTGGAGCGCGATAACCGAGGCCTCCGAGTCGGAGGACGGCAGGACGGGGATGTAAGGGTGCGATTCGGCGGCGTCGCGGATCTGTCCGATGTCGGAGGCGAGGTGGTTGAAATCGGCGGCTGATTGGGCGACGGTGAGCGGGACGGCGGCGGAAGGGGAGTAGAGGAGGAAGGGGTTTGGCGAATTGGAAGGCCAGGTGAGGGAGGCGGCGATGGGGAGGAAGCGGGACAGAGCGGCGGCGAGGGAGCGCGTTAGGGTTGGGACGATGGAGGAGGTGAAGAAGGTGGCGGTGGAATTTTCGGGCGGGAGGGGATAGAAGAGGAGGCGCTCGACGGGCGGGAAGATGGACCAGGTGAAGTCGAAGCAGGTGAGGGAAAGTGACATCGTCGGAGCGCGGTGGCACGTCGGTGAAGGACGGGGAGATGTGGTGGAGATGTAATAGGGTGATTGGGTTTGGGGATTCAGCTTTTCCCATTATCAGGTAGAGTGAGAGGAAGTTGGATTGAGCTTAACACTCAAAACTATTTGACACTATTTATACCCGAAGTAAAGTTGTCAAACTGGTTTAAGTTACTGAGCCGACAAGAAAGAGTTTAACAATCCGATCAGGGTTCGACTGATTTAAATCATTTTAGACATTTTCTAAACATATATACAAATAAGATAGTAATTAAAATTAATTACTGAATGAAAATTATCTTACATGCATTTATTAAAAAATTATTTTCCACAAAATAAATCTAACTAACCATCACGACACACCCATATCTCCCTTTCATCGTTCATCTTCCTCTCTTCCCCCTCTCTTTTCTCCCTCTTTAGGGGTCAGATGGAGGCTTTTTGAGATCGTTGATTCGGCTTAGGTTGGACCGGGTCCAACCGGAGGTACGATAGAGGTCTAAAACCTTGCCGTCAAGGAACCCACTTGCATTGAGAAAATATCATGATTTTTCCCCCTCATATCGCCTCTTTGGGAACTCAGACTTCAGCTTTAACTGTTTGAGTATCAGTGAATTTGAATCCTTGTTGAATGATGATGGGTTTAATGTGAATCATATGTCCACCACTAGTATATAGGAATTCAGTGTAGACCCATATCTTTTGTGGTGTTTGGTTTATCACGTGGCTGCATTTTTATTTCCATTACTGTAGTTCAATAATTGATGCCATCCAGTTTTTGTTGCCATTCATTAATGATACCCTGCAATATTGGTGCGAGAAATTGCAGGTTACTGCTCTATATTTCTGAAGATTTCAAGTTTGAGAACTCCAACGACACAGAATCGCAGACCAGTACGGTTGCCATCTGCATTTTCATGGACGTTACAGCTTGGAAGAAGAAAAGAAAACAACGCCCGGCGAGCCGCATCATTTGAAGCCCAATACCCGAGGAGGAAAATGGTAGGGATTGTTAGGCACTAGCGGAAACATAGCAGAATTAAGAATCAAATTCAGAGAAATTTATATCACTCAAATCAGTAGCGGAGGGAGAGCTTAAGTACTGGTGTCCAGGATTCCACTTGAAAATCTCGGTAGCAAAAAAATTCATTATGCATGTGGGTTTAATGGGCTTAAGATTTAGGACCCATTACAATTTTTATTTATTTATTTATTCTATAGTCTAGGACCCCATCATTACGGTTCTCGTAGGCATCTCTCACAGAAAGGACACAAAGTTTACTTCAGATAAATTATTATTTTAATATTAAAGATGAAATCATTATAATAAGCTTAATTTCATAAATCCAATCCAAAAAGGTTGATGGCATTCTACCATAACTAACTCGCTCCATGTATCCTCACAAAAAAGGGTGAAATCATAGACTCAACCTTCTTTGTCATTCCAACGATACTCATCATTCCATTCTCAACTTGTTTATGCAGTTTCATTTTAAAATCAAGAAACAAGGTATTGATGTTTCTAAAATCAATGATCAATATGTTTTTCTAAAAGGTTATGCGCCAGGCTAACAAGTTACAAATCTAAATTACTTTGTAGTTTGAGTCCTTTATATGGTTAAAATTATGCAATTGTAAGTGCTTTAAGTGGCTAATTCTCAACTAGTATATATTATGAATCGTTTATATAGTTACAGATTAACTTTCTTCGCTTTCAACTAGTTTTATTTATTCCGAATATGCAAAAAAATGAGAAGTTCAAAGGCTTGAACGGAATGAATAAGTTGGCCATACGGATGGTGGAAAGTGATAAGCATAATTATTATACATTAGTTTATTTGCTTATTAAACTTATGCTTATTTTGTTTATTCCAACTAAAATCACTGAAAAGTCATTGTAACTTAGGAGTTACATAAAAAAAACAAGCTTCCAATCCGAATAAGTGAAGAGTAGCATAATAATTTCTTGGTAGGATATAGAGAAAAGAATGTGCTCAATAATATAGAACACGAATGTGTTTACAATGTTTTCAAATATAAAATCATGTTGCGACTCATTCTAGAAACAAACAAGTGTGTTGTATTAGTAAAGCATTGAAATCATATGTTTCATTCGTGCATTTTTTTTTTTAAATTTAGCTTTATATTATTGATTTGTTTAAAGGACCTCATTCGACTCAAAGTCTGACTACGCTACTAACTCAAATTATTTTGTAAACACTCACTGTGTAACTTTTCTGATAAATGTGAACATTTATTAGAAGCAATGAAGAAGTTTGTACTTTGTACATCAAAGGGAACAGGGGGAAAAGGAAAGGGCACTCATATAATATAACCAGCCAGCTAGAAGAAGAAGAAGAAAAGACGGAGCACAACAGACAAAACAAGGACAGAGAAAACACCCACAAATCACATGGGGGGCCTAAATCAAGATTGATGAGCCACAACACAAGTTTTCTGTAGTACCATTCTTCGCTTTCACTTTTATGATCAGACCTGCTACACCAAGCCAATGGAACTGCTGGACCGTGAGCATGAAACAAGTATCGATTGGGACCATTTATGCCACATGGTTGATCTGTCGTTTGACCAAGCCTTCACAATTCTATCTTGATGCAAACTGAGTTATCGAAAGTTTCAGGCATAACGATTAGAGCATCCATATCAGTGCAATTGCAAAGTCAATTGTATACGTGGTTTCTACTTTTAGTAATCTAATTCGTTGGTTTATGGCGGGCACTCCCGCTCTAGAGCGTTGAAACGCGATTCCTAGGTAAAGCGTAGAAAGCTCCGAATTATATACACGAGAGCGCTGAGAGCGGCATCAACTATTTGAGAAGTAATGATTACTTGGTGAAACTTGAAAATAAGAGTAACCATTTGGAAAGGAAACCATTATGATCTTGTGGAAGTCACAGACATAATCTCTTATATAGGGAAGAGATCGAAACAACCACTAGTTTCAGAAGAAAATAAAAACAAAACAGCTACTGATAGATGACTAGCAGGAGGAGAGTTGAGAGATGTTGCGACATATTCAGGGTGACTTCTTTGGCATGCATCAATGACTCTACTCTCTGTCGGGATTATACGATAATTGAGAAAAGAGCAACACAGACAGAGTAATTAGTAGCGATAATCAAAATGGAGATGGAGAAGGCAGGTATATAGAATGGCGTATGCGATTGACATTGAGAAGATAGAGAGAAATGAAATGAGAAGCTGTTACTGGCTTTGACACTTTCGAATTTGTGGTTCTCCTTCTTTGTAATCTTATGCGTAATTTTATTTACGTTATTTTAATGTTGGATAATTTCATGGCATTTGTACTGTATGTCGCTCGCTTGGTGCCAGTAAAGTAACACTGTTTTTTTTTTTAACTGACGAAGAGAAAACATTTCATTTGTCTATTTAATTCTTTCAAAAAAGTAATAAAAGAAAGAGCCAAATAAATATTTAAACCTAATGTATGCTAAAAATTAAATAAAGCAATGCTATCTTTGGAGTTTGAATCATGGAGGAGAAGTACAAGCTCACTCTTGTTGTAAAAGAAAATTTAAGGTACTAACTGTATAATTGATTTTTTTAACAAATAAAATTTTATATTATTATGTGTTTTAATATATGTAGACCTGGCAATCGGGTCGGGTTGGGTAATTTCGAGTTGGGAATCTCGGGTTACGGGTCTTCACGGGTGGGTTATGATGGGTTTGTTGATTTCGGGTCAAATATTGACCCAACCCATTGGGTTTCGGGTCGGGTTTCGGGTTATTTCGGGTCATGAGCGTTCTCAGAAACAATATAAAACATGCTTCATAAATTTTAAAGAACATAAATTTTTACGTATGTGCGACAATAATTTGCCTAGCACATATCAATTAACAAATGCTCAACTCCTTCCATCCTAATGAAAAGAAATACAAATTGCACAAATTGTCAAAAAACAATGACAATTTGTTTTTTCTCACCGGGTCAGGGTCGACCCGCGAGTTGACAACTTTGGTTAAGATCTACACAACGATATTCATTTCATTATATTTTAAGCAAATAAATAATTATTTTTTCAAAACACGTGTTTGTTGCAGTATTATCACTGTCATATTATGATTTTACCAATATTGTAAGATAAAATGCATATCATACTACTACGATATAATGATGATAATGATAATATGATGATATGATAGTGAGAGATGATGTCATCAAATTATTTTCTTGAACATAAAACTCATACCAACAATATATTCTATCATATCATGATATTATCACAACACCATAGTGATATTACTATAAAACTATATGATTTGGTATCATAACCCAAACTTAGAATATTTGTATGTGGCCCGGTAGAGCAAGTGGGTTGAGGATTAATGGTCCAACCGTTTTAGCTCGATTTTGCCCGGATATATGAAACAATTCATTATATGTTCATATATTAATAAATTATACCAAATCTCATCTTACATACGAGTAATAACATATAACATTACACAAAAATAGCATGTCGTACTTAGACATATAGTGAAAATTCACACACACTTATATAACATTAATATTCAAATGCTCAACTTAGAATTCCAAAGATTGAGTTAGGCGAAAAGGAAAACTGGAAAATTGACGCATTTCGTAAACCAAAGAAAGAACGACACAGTTTGACCTCCAAACTGGCACCTTGTACCGGTCGGCCCGATGAATATGTGCGGCCCATTTTTCTCATCGGGTCAGGGTCAAGGTCAAA